TGGGGGTGCATGAGGGGGTGAAAGAACTTGAGGTTGTCGACGTTGTGCTGTAAGCATTTCCGGACACGAATGCATCACCAGTTACAGTCTCGACGACCGAACTGGTGTACTTACCTGCGCCGCTGACCTCTTCATACTCAGACTTCCAAGTACGAGTGGTATCGCAGCTTGGAAATTGCATGGAGTTAACGGGAGGCGGCCCTTGACAAAGAACATGCTGGGCAAGGTTAGCATCTGCCAAAGGCGGTGGGACAAGCAAGCCCAGGTTGGCTCCACGAGCAACGGTGAGTCCGTTGTGGATGCCCACAACAAAATTCAGAAATCGTTCATCATACTCTGAGAAGGCTTCAGGGCCACGAGAAGCCCGGATGGTATCGGACACGCTATCGAGGAAGCCGAGCTGGCTTCTCGGATCGACGCGAGCAGCATACGCAACCAGAACTTCGAATTCCACGAATGTCAAGCCCTCGACTCCTCCAAGAGAGAACACAATAGCATCAACTGCTTGACTCATGGCGTCTCTCTCAGCGTTTGACCACTCTTGTTGACCACGATTCATTGCGATCGTGAACGCATCTTCAATGACGGCTGCTCTGTCGTTGCTAAACTTATTCCAAATAGACTCCATTTCGGTGTTTGGGGCTGAACATCGGTTTTGAAGTCGGTAGAAGTGGCTGGCTGATTCTCGCTAGAAAGGTTGGAGCGGGAAAACTGAGATGAGTAGAAACGAAGAACCCACAGGCGAGTTTTTGTCCCTTATTATACTACGAAATTTCTCCAGTTCCGTGTCGTGCATTGGGATCTGATCTTAGGTGTTCACAGGTCCTGCATGGGTTTCTTAGCTTGTTCCTTTGTTTCTATCTGGTCACCAATAAGAAAGAGCGTTGTTAAATGAGATTTATTGTTTTCTAGGTAGTTCGTCCATTTTGAACAAAGGTGAGAGAGCACAGTATCCGGTGTTTTTCGAACAACGCACCTGGACACGCGTATTTCTGTTCGGGGTCATGAGCAAAAATGAAAGCATTTCGGTCTGATGACTGTTCTGATATGTGAACATGGGGAATAACAGCCCTTTTGTGTTATTTGCCCATGCCTTCGGTATTGGGCCCGTGATAGGTGCCAATCAAGTTCGGTTGATGGTTTCGGAATCTCACGGTTCGTACTCCAAAATGGTAGTTCTGGTTCTATTCTATGTTGGCATTCTCTAACATTAGTGCGCAAACCTGAAGTCCAGCCTCTTGTTGCCTTCATCTTTGGTCGTTCTTAGATACACATCCTTCTCTTCATCCGACATGGCACTCCAAATGCGTTCTCGCGTCTTATTTCGCCATATATAGTATCCCTTGATGAAAACAGTCATCACCACGTTCCAACCAACGAGCGCAAGAAGAACTTTATTTCCCCGTCGGTATAAAGGCTTGTCATCATCACGATAGATCTGTATTTGTTGTTAGCCTTGTACTAGATAGAGATGAATGGGGACTTGGACTGACCTGGGATGAGATTACAGAGCTGGCCTGGCATATCATGTTGTACATGGCACTGCCCACTGTTCTAGTGCGAACAGAACCAGCGTTTCGCGATGTCAAACTAACTGTAGAATTGTCAGTAAAAGAAAAATAAAACAAAATAAATGTCTTGTCCGCACCATTGATTGAGTGAATGTAGGGGAAGCCAATCATCAAGATTGTTGCTGAATACCATGCCCAAGGGCTAGCGCTTGCGGGAAGCAGCTCGAGAGTCAAGAGCAACACAAAACACCAGAAGGAATAGTACAGCAAAATCGCCATTCGGTTGTTGATCTTCTCCGAGTACCAAGAGATAAGGATCAAATGCACCAGGAAAAGCACATATCCAGGAATGGTCAGCAGATTCGTCTCGAATGTGCCGAATCCCAAGGCCTTGAGGTTGAGGGTAAGATAGGCAGTGACGGGGTTGGTGGGAATCAGCATGGTCCAACTGATCATGTATAGTGGCCAGAGGTCATAGTCCATGAGTGCATCCCAGAGGAGCTTGAGTGTAAGACCTTGACGGTTATGCATGCCTCCCTGTACCGCCATGTCAGTGTTGCTGGACTGCGTAAAGGTACGGAGTTCACTTACCTTGCCTGGGTCGTCACGCAAGACACGGTTGACCATGATGACCTCTTCTCTTTCCGTGAACCAACCGTCTTTACCACGGAACCAACTAGCTGTTTGTGTCGGGCCAGGAGGTAGATAGAACCAAGACACCACGCCGATGAAGAACGTTAGTGTTCCCTCAAGAACAAACAGCCAGCGCCAACCTTCCCAGCCCCCGACCGACCGCATATGAAGGATTCCATATGCCAGGAATGCAGCGACAATGAAAGTACCGTTGGAAGCGCAGTAAAAGAAGCCGACGCGCATCGGAAGCTCTTTGTTGGTATAGAAGTACGAGAGGTACAGCAGAGCATCTGGAATGAACCCTCCCTCGATGAGTCCCAGCAGAGCGCGAGTTGCATAAAAGCTCTGCTTGTCTTGGACAAACCCTTGGCAGATGCCGATGATACTCCATGTGACCATCTGGATCGGTATCCAAACATCAGGGCCGAGTTTCTTGGAGATCATTTGTGATGGCACTTCTGCAGACAAGAAGCAGAGGTAAAAGATCATCATGCCGTAGTTGTAGTCGTTAGTGTTAAGGCCGAGATCGTCAAGCATGCCATCACTCAGAGCCTGTGAGATATTGCCACGGTCGAGTTGTAGTGCAAAGAACATGAGGCAAACCCAAGAGCAGATCCTCTTGTCTAACTAGAGGGCACCAAGCAGGTAAGTATGGCGTCAAGTCGCCAACAGGGAATGAGCTTACCCGTCTGACTAGCTTCCTTTCCTCCTTTTCCGTCCATTCGGCAGTTGGGTCATATCGATGAATGCCTTCATATTCTGGAATAGGCTTGTACAGCTCCGTAGCTCCTCCAGACACAAATGTGTCGCCGGTGAAGTAGGCGCGCTTCTGTGTCGAACCATAGTCATAATCGGAATCGGACGCCTGAATGATCGGGTCGTCGATAGTGGTCGACTTCTTGTCTGCCATATTGCGAGGGCCGAGATGCGAAACGTATCGGTACTCGGTCAACTATAGCCTATCGGTGTGCCAAGCTCGGTATATAAGTAGTTTGTGGCATTTTTTCAAGGCCCATTGTTATATATCGTGCGCTGGGGATTGAATGGTGCAATGGTGCAGATTGTCTGGCATATACCCGTCTAGTGTGGATTTCCAACCATATATGCAACGCATAGGCGATGGTGCAATCTCTCGGGGGATATGTGTAATCTCTCCAACATGGCATTGGCTGGAAACTCCAAACCTGCTAGATCTTATGCCGATGTCCCGCGTAGCTCGGTGGGTCGGCATGGATAAGAGCGTGCAGTGAGACATGAAACAGATGACTTCCAATAGAGGACCCAGGCTTACTCGCGCACTTTGGACTCCGCAGTATTGTTAAGGCCGCAGTTGTAGTCCTTCGGGAAGTGGTGGCTCTGCTGATCAAGTCGACATGTTCATCAGTTGGTCTGTCCCTTGAACGCGTGCGAGGGTAAGTCGATGGCGTCAACAACATTACCGAGAGTTTCTCCGAAAAGATTAATTCTCGTCAAATATTAGTATTAATCGACCTTTCATTTAAGCCATCCTTCTTTCCAATCTCGAGGGGCTTGTACTCATCCTTTTGTCTGCCTTTTGACCATGTTCAGACGGCAATAACAGTAATCAACGACGGCTTTGTCCGTTTCAGTGAGATCGGGAAACTGTCTCAAAAAGTGGACTCGGAGATGAAAAGAGCCAGTAGGAAGCAGGGTCTAATTTCCCCGTTCTCGATCCGTCGCCCGTTTCATTTGCTCCGAGATTTTCAGGCCTCAGTAGTACATGTCGAAGGCCAGAGTTCCTCTGAAAGAAGGGCCACAAGATACAAATCTGCTTACGAACGAGAGCTTTAAAAGCAAGTTATGACAAAGAATAGATAACAAGGAGTTTCATCTTTACGTCATCTGGTTTTTGTGATGTGGTCTTTTGCTGGGTTTTTATACGGTCAAGATCTTTTCATGCGGTAAATAAACTCAACAGACGTTAAGGCGACAAAGGATTGCAATTCCGAAATGATGAAAACTCAGCTCCATTCAAATTTGCAAAATACCAAGTCCACTCAATTAATACAACCAACCAGGGGTTGGGAATGCCTAAGACCAACACAATATTTGAGATCACGAGAGTCAAGTTAATTACCAGTCCTACCCTAGAGACAGCATTTGTCACAGAGGAACGCAACTGAGGTCTTCCTGGGGCTCCGAAAAGCAACCAATCAGAGCCACGCCCGGTTAGCTCAATCGGTAGAGCGTGAGACTCTTACGAGTACGCGATCTCAAGGTTGCGGGTTCGACCCCCGCATCGGGCTGTTCCTATAAAAACGATTGCGAGCAATAGCGAGGCATCTCTTTTTGCTATTTTGCACTTTTTGGCCGAGTCCTTTGACTTTTTACTAGTGAAAATGATGACATAGGTCTGCAACATGGTGGTGTTTGGTTTTTATGTCGGCGGCCTACTGTTGGTCTCGGGCGATCGCAGTAGGTGGCGAGCAGTTCTCATGCGCGCATTGAGACTCATCTAGAGCCCCCGAAAGTGGTGACACAGAATGGAAACGCACTTTAAGTAATTGAGCGGAGATTTAATCACAATTTGACTCGTTTCAATAAACGTAAATGGCACTCAATCTGAGCTAGTTCCACTGACCGCGTCATCTTGGTGGGCTGGTCAAGGGGCCAACACTACTAGACCCTCAATATTCGCATTCAGAATACGAAAATCATCGTCAGAACCTATTTAAGAACGCCAAAATGTCTGCTCTCCCCAGAAGAATCTTATTAATGTCGAAGCCTTTCCTTTGCCAGAAAAGTCTCAGTTATTTCCCGTATGCTTTTTGTCTGTTCTTGACGTCCTTGTTCACATACACATCGTTGCCCTTCTTTTAGTTTTCGTATCCGAAGATGAGCGGAGATGGGCCATACGGACCCGTTGTTAATGGGACTCAGATCGTCTTTTTCGAATACCTTCCCAACAAACCTGCGGCGATCTCCTTCGTTGTTCTTTTCGGCATTGTCACTTTAGCCCACCTGGTATTCCTCTTCACCCTTCGAGCCTGGTTCTTCATCCCCTTCATCCTTGGTGGCATCTGTGAGTTGACCCTATAACCTTGGCGATGGTACCTCCTGACACGGATCCAGGTGAGATCTTTGGTTACTTCGGTCGATCCCAAGCCCACGATACCCCTGATAAAGCAGGTCCTTTTATCCTCCAGAACGTCCTTCTGCTCGCCGGAACACCTTTCCTAGCCGCGACGATCTACATGAGTCTTCGGCGTGTTGCCACGGCGCTTGACTCGCAACATCTTTCGTTTATAAGTCTCCGATGGTTGACAAAGCTTTACGTCCTTATTGACATCGCATGCATTGTCAGTCAGTTCATAGGCGCCATCATACCTGCTTCTGGCGACCCAGATGCCATCACTAAAGGTCGAACTATTCTTATTGCTGGTCTCATAGTTCAACTCTGCGCCTTGAGCATCTTTATCCTCACTTCACTGTATCTATACATACGAATAAGACAAGAAACTGGACCGTTCTTGGATTCGTCTCTGGTACGGTGGCGGCGATACTTCAGAACCATCGAGACCGTGACGGTAATCATGATTATTCGCAGTATTGTCCGTGCAGTCGAGTATCTTCAAGGACAAGGGGGGTTTGTCATATCTCATGAGGTCTTCATATACCTATTTGATGCATCACTCATGTTCCTGGTCATGCTATTGTTTTTGATTGTTCATCCAGGGCGGTTGGTCAAGAGCGGTACCGGGATGAAGTGGAGGGGACAGACGCAAATCGATGAGGCGGGCGAGGACATCATGCATCTGCGTGAGTATCGAGCTTAGCATGTTCTATTTGGCTAAAAACTACAGAGAAAGATTACGATTGTGTACATAGAATCAGGTTTTGACGACTTTCGGGTGATTCCAAATACAAATAGTACATTCATTTCAGTCTTTCAGACAATTGTAAAGAGAATTAAGCGGTAGACTGGCGTGGTTAGTCAGGCCGAGGTAATAACCGCAAGGCAATATCAGCTCTTGAGTACAACAAATTTGAACCACGAAGCTTGCTTTCAGGCACTTCTGACAAGTCTGACAAGAATGCGGCGATGATGTCGAATTCGATGTCGAGGGGAGCATAGCGGCGCGATAAGAAACGATAAGATAAGATAAACCACCAAACCCCGCTGTTCATTGGCCGATTCCTGATGTCATCTCGTGACAATATCAATTTTCAGCCTTTGCTCATCTCATTGCTGGACCATCTTCAACACCAACAGTACAGCCCATCATGTTTGCTCTTCGTCGAATCATCGCCCGCCCTATGCTGCGCGTAGCGACGCGTCAGATCCACGTGACGCCGCGTCGCTTCGCCTCTGCCGATCAGCCACCCAACATGCAGCAGCTCGAGTCAATGATGAATGACCCTCATATTCGTGAGACCTTCGAGAAGCTGAGCCGTCATCCTCCCGCCATTGAGGCCATGCAGAAGATGGGGGACATCATCAAGAGCAAGGGTATGGAAGGTCGGTGAATCAATTGCAACCTCGGCTGATTATCTGGCGCAGGGCTTGCCACTTCAGGGCCACCGAGTAAGATGGACATCATGAAACTCATGATGGATAAGGAGTTTCGTGATGCAGCGACAACAGTATGTCTACCGTCTGAGTCTTGAATTGTGTGCTAATTGGGATCACAGTTGACGACGGAAATGCAAAATGCTGGTGTTGAGATCAATCCTGATGTTAGCTTTCCTACATGCTTCATTCTTGCGCACGTCACTAACAGTACTCCTAGGTCTTCATGAAGATGATGCAGGGCGAGAAATGAAGTTCATATATTCATACAGGAAAGTGTTGAGTTTGTAGGATCAACCATGATAAGACTTGCGATGGTTCCGAGAACATACTGTGATTAAATCACATTCATCGAAGAAATCAGCGTATATTATTCAGGACTTGAACTACATTGTCCGGCAACATGACCAATGTGTCAAAGCTGTATGGAGAACTGGTTGATTGTGAATTGCATCATGTGATGGCCGTATGCCGAGCGACGAGACAGTGAAGTTCGCAACAAGGGACCGATTTGTCAATCCTCGAGCGGCATCTCCATGGTTTATTCTCTTTCGGGGCAATACTTATCATGCCCAATCGATCCGAGACCCCGGACCTTAGCTTCCGACGGACAATATCGGAGTCACCGCTCGATAGTTTCATGCCAAATCCCAATCAAGAAGGCATAAGAGGTCAAAGCTGAGAAAGGAAATTGAATGCGAGGCGCTGAGTTGACATGAGATCGTTCTCTCTGCGGTTCTGGCACAGTTAAATTACTATGTCGCAGAACCAGGTCCGTTCACCGGTTCAGCAAGCCACCTTTTCGAAACAGTTCGACATGAATTTATCACGAATGAAGTGCCATAGCTTGATCATTATCCCTAGACAGACAAATACCAGAGATATTAGACATAAAAACAAGCTTCGGTAACAGACTACAGGATTGGCTGTCGCTGGCAATTCGTAAAATTGCGGGATTTTTAGCTCACGCTAGCCCCGGCCCCTTGACACTTCCCCAGTGATCAGAATACGGCCTTGAGGTCTAGGCCACAGCTGAACTCTCTTGTGATTTGGGAGCCAATCAATTTATCACTAGATCAGCTTCCAACTGCCTATTGAGGCAGCTGGTCCCAGATCTACACAGGCAATCGTGACTTGGTGTGTTGTTGCTAGGTGATCCGAGCTAGTGAGATGCTGAACCAAGACATGCATGGTAGCCTAGGAGACTTCTAGGGAATTGGCGCCGTTGGTCTTGAACATTGGTATGGATGGCGGTTGCTTGATTCACGTTCAAGTGAGGGGTGTTTTCTTTTGTAGCCTGCAACATAAAGGGCCAAGTGCCCATCCTGCTGTTCTGGTCTTCAAACTTCATCAATGTTTCCATTGACCCACGTTTGCCTATACCCCAATAATTGATCAAAAACAGCAAGATGAGGTACTCAATCACACAGCTTGCAGCTGTTCTCACAACTCTATCCACAACAGCTCATTCTGCCGTCCTTCCACGGGAGAAGCAAGGGTCCTGCACGAAGACCAAGGTTGCTATCCTCGGAGCCGGTGTTGCTGGCATAGCAGCAGCCCAAAACTTGACAAAAGCAGGCATCGACCAGTTCATCATTGTAGAACATAATGACTACATTGGGGGGCGAATGAGGAAACAATCCTTTGGCAAGAAAGCAGATGGACAACCTTACACTATTGAGTTCGGCGCCAACTGGGTTGAGGGTATCGGATCAGAAGCCACACATGAGAATCCCATCTGGCTGTTGGCAAAGAAGTATAACTTGAAGTCACATGAGTCAGATTACGAGAAGTACTTGACATTCGACCACAAAGGACAGACAAATTGGAGCAGCACAATCAAAGACCTGGAAGATATCTACAGCAAGGCTGAAGCAGAAGCCGGCCGTCTCCTGCTCGGAAACTTGCAAGATACCTCCGTACGTGCCGCTATTCGCTCAGCAGGATGGCGTCCAGACAAGGACGACATGCACGCGCAAGCCGCAGACTGGTGGAAATGGGATTTTGAATCTGCTTGGACACCTGATGAGAGTGGTCTTATCTTCGGAGTGGCTGGTGGTAATGCAACATTCGGCTACTTCAGTGATGTCAGCAACCTCGTCGTTGACCAGCGTGGCTTTAGCACTATCATACAAGAGGAGGCCAAGACGTTCCTGAAGAACGGTGATGCAAGACTCCGACTCAAGACCACTGTCGAAGGCATCGAGTATGGAAAAGACGGAGTGACAATCACAACGGACAAGGGTGATTGTATCCAGGCCGACTACGCCATTTGCACCTTTTCGCTGGGCGTGCTGCAGAGCAACACCACCGAGTTCAGCCCTCCTCTCCCCGACTGGAAGCAAACTGCCATTGACCAGTTTGCAATGGGCACGTACACAAAGATCTTTATGCAGTTCGAGGAGGCTTTCTGGGATAACGAAACGCAATTCTTCCTGTATGCCGATCCTCTCGAGCGTGGCCGGTACCCTCTCTTCCAGTCACTCAACCCAGAGGGTTTTGCACCGGGCTCTAACATTCTCTTCGGAACTGTGACTGGAGAGCAGGCATGGCGCGTGGAACGTCAGACCAACAATGAAACGATGGAACAGATTCTCGACGTCTTGAGACTGATGTTTCCCGACAAGAACGTGACGACACCAACTGCTTTTACCTACCCTCGCTGGAGTACTGAACCGTAAGTCAAGAACAAACCGCTCGCAGTCGAATGACCCGTGGACTAATTATACGCAGTTGGGCATACGGCTCCTACAGCAATTGGCCCGTCGGCATGACTCTTGAGAAGCATCAGAACATGCGCGCCAACGTTGAGCGTCTCTGGTTTGCCGGGGAGGCTAACTCTGCGGAATTCTTTGGTTTCTTGCATGGGGCATATACTGAAGGCCGCGATATCGCTAACAAGATTGGTAATATCCTCAACGGAAAGGCTGGTGATGATGAGTTTGACATGGAGAGGTACGAGAACCTTCATGGAACGACATTTGTGGATGAGTATGATGAGGATAACGGATGGTTGTTCCCGTATGACGTCGATGGGGATGAAGAATAGGAAAAGCAAGAATGAGGAGATTGAAGTTGATTCAATGTAAATAATTATGTATGACGCTAATGATTGTAATGCGAGGGAAGACTCGGGTACTATAGTGGGATCAAAGGAGTTTTTGTTGGGTTACTCAATATTCTGTCATTCTGATGCGTTTGTTGCATGTTGTCGCCGATACCGCATTGGAGGATTATAAATCGGGGGGCTGGGGTTCGAGGCAACGCAGAAACTCAATGTCTCGGCCACAGTATTCGCACATTGAGTTTGAGTTCCCAACGGCAAGACCGCATGCTTTTTTGCAAATGTCTTATTGATCTCAATATGATAGAGTTTGCAACACCGGGTAGGGCCGAAGATGGTGGATCTGGTTATCAGCAGGCTGCATAAGTAATCTCGTATGGGGCCAAACAATTTGCGACGACATTATCGCCCAAGCTCCTCGGAGGGTCAATTGAGGCTATCGTATGAGCTTTTGCCGGCTGGAAAAGTCTTCAATGCGATATACGCGCATTCACGTCGGGGCTCATCGGCGAGTGAACCGATTCCCTGTTTCTGGGCACCTCTTGGCATGGGTTCTACCCCATCTCTTTGATGATTGATCGACCATGGCCGAGTGGGAGGAGAGTGGGAGAGCAGCCGTGATTACAATAACCATAACCCCGCCCTTTCGTTTTTCAGTCAGTGCGTAAACATTTATCCCAATCGGTTCTGGTTAATGGAGTAAATGCTTGGAAATCATATGCAGCCCGCTGATAGAGTGACGCGGCTCGCATAGCCTCATCAATTGCCGACTAAATTGTTAGTGAGGGCAAAGTCTTGGCAATTGATGTCATGGATTGTTGGTGACAAGACTGACTCAGATTTGGGTGTGATGCACTAGATCTTCGAATCGGGACTGCTAAGGTACAGTGCTCAGTGCTGCACCTCCAGGTGTCCTAAGTCCGGTCAGCCCGCTCAGGTCCCCCCAAGCCTCACTGAAGCTAAAAGGCAAAACCAAGAAAACTCCCTCTCGGTCGCAGCCGATGCAAATCTCCAAAACTAGTTTCAATTCTCATACTCCCATGAAACGACCCCAGTTTGCGGAATAACAGTGATCAAACAGCTAAAATCCGTAGAGTATCAGCGTCGGATTTAGCGAGTCAGCAGTTTCATAACCCCGTAGAGATAGGTCGGCAAATCAGTTGCCATACTTACCGAGCCTGCCAAGAGTTGGCCATGTTGTA